ACACATCTATTAAGCAATCTGTTTTTTAAAAAAGCAAACTTATTAAAATCAGTGATATGGAAAAGGGACATTTCGAAAGATAAACTTATTGAGGTAATTATAGATATAGATGCAATTGTGGGAAATAATACAGAAAGAACTCAGGTTCTCCTCTTTACCCAGTTTCCCCTAATGGTAACATCTTAAACCTATGGTGAGTTGTGTAATTATTTCAGTATACATTGCAATGTAATAATAGAAATAAAATGCACAATAAATTTAATGTGCTTGAATCATCTTGAAACAATCCCCTCCCCAAGTCTGTGGAAAAACTGTCTTCCATGAAAATGGTCCCTGGTGCCAAAAAGGTTGGGGACCACTGTCTTTAACTATAATGCACCATCACAACCTGGGTACTGACATGGACACCATCAAGTATAGAACATTTCCATCATCAGAAGAGTCCCCATGTTGCCCTCTTCTAGCCATGCCTACTTCCTTCCCACCTTCACCCCTGGCAACCACTAATCAGTTCTCCATTTCCATACTTCTGTCATATCAAGAATGTTACCTATTAACGGAACTCTATAACCTTGGGATTGACTCTTTTTCACTCGACATAATTCTCTGGAGATTCACCAGTTTGCTGTGTGTGGTGGTAGTCCATTCCTTTTCATTGCTGTGTAGTTTTCCATGGTAGAGATGGAATGTATCTAAGCTACCTGCTTCTGCATCTATCTCTTCCTTCCTCCTGATAGAGTGGAGGAAGTGGTCCTCCACCTATGAAAGGCCGACTCTCTTACGTGAGCTCTGGATACCCGACCCCATTCCTCCAACATTAATACCTTCTCTGGCTATCATCTTTCTCATTGAAACCATCCTCAACACCTTACAAACACGCTCTGTGTCTCATGCACTGGGATGGCTCTGACCTCTCCCATCTTTCCAGCTCACACCATATCTTTCTAGTCCCTTTCACAGCACAACTTCTCAAAACAGCAATCTATACTTTTATCTTTTGTGCTGGTTAACTTTAGGTATCAATTCGACTGGACTGAAGGATGCCTAAATGGCTGGTGAGCACTGATTCTGGGTGTGTCTGGGAGGGTGTGGACTAGGAGAGGAAGCCCTGCCCTCAGTGTGGGTAGGCACCGTCCAGAGCAGAGCAGGCTGAAGGAGGGGGTTATTCATCCTGCTAAGTTTCCTCTCCCCACGCCCCTTCCAGAGCAGGGCACCTTTTCTCCTCCTGCTCTTGGCTATCAGACTCCAGGTTCTTTGGTCTTCAGATCTGGAATTTGCCCCAGCAGGGGCCCTCAGGCCTTGGGCCTCAGACTGTAGGCTGCACCATCTGCTTCCCTGGTTTTGAGGCTTTTGGACTTGAACTGAGCCATGCTACCAGCTTTTCTCATTCTCCCACTGGCAGACAGCTGTCATAAGACTTCACCTTTACAATCATGTGAGCCAATTCTCCCTAATAAACTCTCTCTCATAGATATATATCCTATTGGTTCTGTGCCTCTGAAGGACTCTCACATCTATCAACACATAAGCCATCTCTAATTCCTAAATTACCATTATCTCTTCACCCACACCACTCTAGCTTCTATGTGTACCTCACTACTCTCCCCAAGATGACCCAGTGGCTATATTGTCCCATCCAATGATACTTTCCTGTCCTCATCTTTCTTACTCTCTCAGATGCAGCCAGTATATAGTTTGTCAACCTTTCCTTCTCTAAATATGCTTCCTTCTGCCTCTATAATTCCACAGTCCTTCTTGACATACCTATTTAGCATATTTCATAGACATTTAAAAGTTAACATACTCAAAACACAATTAATCACATCCTCTGTCCTTATTAAAATCTATTTCTCTCCCAGTCTTCTTGGATTTAGTGAGCCACGCTCCCCCTGCCTCTTGTGTAAGTTGGACTCTGAGGCCGCAGGCTGGCAGGGACCTTATCTCCTGGCACCCCACACACACACACCTTACATTCAGCTGGGACCAAGTAACCAGATCTTTCCAAGAGAATGTGAATGAAAATGAGTGTGTCTCTTCCAGGCTGGGACTTTTAAGAAGTCAAAAGTGTTTCTCCTCTCTCCTCCCACTTCTGCCGTCTAGAAACTGAGCATCTCAAGACCATTAAGAATAAAACCAGGAGACAGAATGAGTGTGGGTCCCTGAATCACTATGGGAAGAGAGCTGCCTACTAACCCAAAACATTTACTTTGAACATTTGCATAAGCAAGGAATAAACTACTGTGTTAAGCCACTGATTATCTTTTGGTTTGCTTGTCATAGCATGTAACACTATCTTAACATACACCATTTTTATATAGGCATTCTTTTGATGGTCTGATTAATACAAAAGTGAAATCTACAGTGTATAGGAGAGTTTAAGTTGTATTACTATTTAGGTGCAGTATTTATTAAACACAAGGCTACTCACGAAACAGCCATACTTTATGTAAATATGGCTTTAATTGGAATTCCTTCAGACTTGGCAACTAAGCTAAGGAGGCTTTTAGGATAAGAAACCCATTAAGTGCTACATAGTACTCAAACATAATGATGTACAGGTTATTTATTTATTTATTTAGAGATGGCATCTTGCTCTGTCACCCAGGCTGGAGTGACATACCCCTGGGGTGGAGCAATACTCCTCCCTCAGCCTCCAAAGTAGCTAGGACTACAGGCATGTGCCACATACCTAGCTAATTCTATTTCTTTCTTTTTTCTTTTTTTTTCTTTTTGTAGAGACAAGGGTCTTACTATGTTGCCCAGGCTGGTCTCAAACTGGCCTCAAGAAATCCTTCAGCCTCCAGATTGCCAGGTGAATTTTAAATGAAAGAATGTTTTCTAGGATTGTGGTTTGTTTTTCCTTTCCCTCTTCAAGTAAAATTCACTCTAAAATGCTTCTAAAATTTTCAGATCCTATTCCAAATTGATTTCCATAGTTCAAAAATGAGAACTCTTAACTTTTTTCCCAAGATAGAACATCATGATGCTAACAGTTTTAGAAATTTTAGTTTATATTGTCTACAAAGCTGTTTTCTTATTATGTGCATGTTATACACATATATAGATTCCTCTTTCTTTTGCATTTCAAACAACCCAGACATTTGAAAAACACAACTCTCTTCCTGAGGAAAAGAAGCCTTCGTTTTCTGACTGTTAAGGCTGCAACACACATCACAGTTGTGCAATGTAGGACAGGGATGTGGGCACTCATTTGCATATCAAGAAGCCAGGATTCAAGATCCTGAGGTTCTGTCCCTCCTTCCGAAGCTTCCTCCTCACTGCGAACTGTCAGGCGCGTTACCAATGTATCCACGCCCAGATTTAAGGGTCTGTAAGTGTCTTTAAGATTTAGTTTTCCTACCTATATGAGTCAGAATACATAATCTTTAGGGTCTCCCACTTAAAAAAGCAAACAGTCTGCACCTATAAAAGGAAAACAAAGAAAAATGTCCGAACAAGCATCAGAAGAACATCAGTAAGACTCGATTGAAAAGATTTGCCTCAAAGTCAGTGAAGTGCAGCGATTTTTTGATGAATTTCCTCCCGTTGGCCCGAGGTCAGTTCCACCCTCCATCCCAGCAGCGCACCGCACTGGGTCAAATGTTCCAGACTCTACTGATCATGTGGCAAAAGCATTTCTAGTCCCAGAAATTTCATCTCTGAAAAGTCAAAATCCATATTCTCAAAAAAAAAAAAAAAAGTGAGTAATTCAACTTATTTTCCAGGCCATTTTTGAACTGGCAGACAAGACTGTCACAATGGAAGAGAAAACTTTGCGCTGGAGTTTCAAAAACAGTAAAGTACTCTGAAAATATTTATTTCTAGAGGAAAAAGCACTCGGATGAAATAACAGAAATCTGTCCTTCAGTCATTTAAAGTTAAATAACATAAACTTTTAAATGGTGAGTTATTTTTTGAAAAGCCATGCTTTTATCTTAATTTGGCTATTTTTGCAAGACAACAAAAATAATTTGTGGGTTTTCTAGACCAAATTGTGGGTTTAAAAATTTCTGATTTAACCAATGCTATTTAAAAAGCAGCAAAAGATTTGAACTGATACTTCACAAAAGAATATATATAAATGTCCAGTAAGTGCAAGAGAAGATGTTCTATATTATCTAGCCATCAAGGAAATAGAAATGTAAACCATAATATGATAGGACTACGTACCGTTAAAATGGCTAAAATTAAAGACTGGTAATATCACCGGTTAGCAAGGATGCAGAGTAATTAGATCGCTCATCTAAAATAGTACAATTTTAGAAAACAGTTTTGCAGGGGTTTTTAATTTTACTTTTTAGTAATTGACAAATAATAATTCTATGTGGTCACTGGGTACATAATATTATTTCAATACATACAGTGATCAGATCAGTGTAATCAGTATATCTATTACCCACCACTTAACATTTCTTTGTGTTGGGAACATTCAATATCCTTGTAGTTATCTGAGGTTATATATTATTGTTAACTACAGTCACCCTACAGTGGTATAGAACGCTAGCTACTGACACATGGATGAATCTTAAAAACATCACACTGAGCAGAAGCAGCCAGATACAAAAGAGTAGGAACTGGATGGTTCCATTGATATAAAACTCTTAAGATAAAGCTAATCTATAGTGAGGAACCGCAGATCTATGGTTGCCTGGGGCCAAGGATTAGGAGTGGGGTGGAGGTGGAGGGTGAATTGACTAGGAAGAGCACAGAGAACATTTTATATCTTAATCGTGGGGGTAAACTAGAATATAAATTTGCCAAAATCTATCCTTATGTGCCCTTAAAATGGGGACAATTTTTGCATGTAAGTTATATTTCAGTAAAGTTTACTAATAATCAAATTAACTGCTTTCTGGATTGGATGCAATTTTACCCATGGTCTGCAGAGAGGCAGGTGCATCCTCAAGCAGGCTGATTTGCACACGTGGAACTCAGTGGCCCTTCAGGACCCTATCAAGAGAAAGGCAATTCCTTCTCGTTACAAGCCACCCTCGACTCACCAGTCAGGGCTCCTCCCAGGCTCCCTCGCCGCAGCTGTCTTCCATCCTCACTCAGCTGCCTTTTATACTTCAGTGATTTTCCGGGGCCAGAAGCCACATCCGGGTTGCTGCATTTCCGAAATGGCATGGGTGGAGGGGACAAGATGTGGTCGAGCTGCAGAGAGAAGAAGAATGGCATCATTTGCTGGGGACAAGGAACACAACCCAGAAGGAAATACCATCCACTCACACTTCCTTCCTTTCTTTCCCTTCTCCAAACCCCTTTCTCCCAAACTGTTTTTAATTTGGCTAGATTAGAGAATTCAGGATTTCACCATTGTGTTTTCCATCTGCAAGAGTCTGGCTTGCTGAAAATCTCAATACCAGTGTTTTTTAAGCCATGGGTCACAACACATTGGTAGGTCATGAAATCAAGCTTAGTAGACTGTGAACAGTATTTTTTAATGCAATAGAACAGAAATTATCAGAGTCCAATGAAGAAAGAGAAGGTATAGTTTCGTGAAATTTTTTTTTTTTTTTTTTTTTTTTTTTGAGACAGAGTCTCACTTTGTTGTCCAGGCTAGAGTGAGTGCCGTGGCGTCAGCCTAGCTCACAGCAACCTCAATCTCCTGGGCTCAAGCGATCCTCCTGCCTCAGCCTCCCGAGTAGCTGGGACTACAGGCATGCGCCACCATGCCCGGCTACTTTTATATATATATATCAGTTGGCCAATTAATTTCTTTCTATTTATAGTAGAGACGGGGTCTTGCTCTTGCTCAGGCTGGTTTTGAACTCCTGACCTTGAGCAATCCGCCCGCCTCGGCCTCCCAAGAGCTAGGATTACAGGCGTGAGCCACAGCGCCCGGCCAGTTTCGTGAAATTTTTGATTCAGTTATGCATGTTTGTGTGTGTCCTGGGTCACTGTATAAAATATTTCTGTATACAATATTTCTGATTTCTGTGGGCTATGGTTCCCCCCAAAATTAAACAATATTGCTCTAGAGAGAAGCCAATAGATCAGTTCTTGAGTTGGTTACAAAAGAAAATTCACATATTGCTCGCAAACATATGTACAGGAGAGAAATTTCTAAGCACCATAGCCCTTAATGGAAATCAATACATTCCTACATCACTTTATAGCTTTTTAAAAGAAAATCTGTCACAAGAACCAGAGAAACCAAAGTTACTTCAAGAGACAGCTTTCTATAAAAGAATCCCTTGTGTCACAACACTTATTTCAAGATGTGCTCTGCTTTTTATAAGAAAGCCTCTTACACTTGCATCATGCTATACCTCCTAAAATGTTCACCTTCAAGTAAGTACATATGAATATATATGTGTCTAGACAGTTAAGGACAAAAATACTCATGTGCATATACTTATGTCCAGATAGTTATTAAGGACCAAAAAAGAAAAGCAAAAATATATCCAGATACTCATGAAAATCCCAACTGCCACATAAAAGGTCCAACTTTGAAATTTAAGAACAGAAAAGACTTGGGTAACATTGCTCAAAACCAGGTATTTTAAGGGATGTTTTACTGAGACTTATTTTGTTTTCATGGGGAAAAGAGGTAGGTAGACTACCTGTCTGATTTTTTTCAAATTAAGACTACCACAGATGTATGTATAAGAAAAAGAAATGTGGAGTCTAGGTCATCCATTTGTCTATACATGGCAGCATATTCAAAATCACTACATGCACAAAAAAATGGCCCTGCCTGTGAGTAGCCCCTCCCAAGTTAGTTGAAAGAACAGATCTCATTGGCTCAACTATTAAGAGATGTCAACTTATCCCCAAGCTCAACTGTATTCATCAGGAACACCAAATAGCTGGTTTCAAACGCTTCTCTATGAGTACCATTCTCAAACACATTGCCAGTTATTATCTTAGAGGCCCTTGAAGAACTAACTGCCTATACACTACAGAATCAAAGCCAGATCAGCAGGGAAAAAGGATTCTTCAGTACAAATTTAAAAAAAAAAAAAAACACTTTTGAATAAGGAGTTGCACTGATCATAAGATATTTGTTGAGGCTGCTGTAACATTACATCAGTGTCCTAACTACGAGGGCCTCCAATGAGAAATTTCTGTCTGGCCTCAGACATTTTGCCCTTAAATCTTATGGACAACGAATTGAAACATGAACAGTTACACATCAGCTACTAGAAAATGCAGAATCCAATTACTGGCCCATCTGTAGTCAGATCATTACACAACGTAGAGGTCATTTTTCCCTACTCCTTGGCTCCATTTTTCGCCCTTACCTCATTTTTTTTTTTCCTTTCCTGCCAATTTTTTTTTTTTTTTGCTTTGAAAATTTTCAGAAAAAAACTTGCAACCACAGAAAAGTTGTATGACTAGTACAACAAACACCCACATTCCCTTTACCGATGGTGAGTTAACCTTTTGCCACATTACTTTTGCTCACTCTGTACATACATGTGCACGCACACAGTGAATGACAGTTGTAGACACCATGGTTCTTTGCCTCTAAGTACTCTAACATACCTTTTCTAAGAACAAGGATATTCTCTGAAATTCTCCTATCCTGTATTCTACATAATTTTATATGGTGTCTCAAATCTTTTGTGATCAAGGTGAAGTGTAAAAACTAAAATGTAAACTAAGATTATATCATATCGACTTAGCATTAAAAATTTGTTCTTTTATAGGGAAAGCTTGCAGCCACAAGGTGGCAATATGCCACAGACATTCAACAAAATGTCCCGTAATAGCTATTAGTCCCTAGCAAAGTCAACAAGCATGAATGGCCACCCTTCAAAGCAATCGACCGAGTGAGGGTCCGTTCTACTTATTTTCTCTTAATTACTAGTGGCAGCTGCATAAAATACAAATATTTATTGTTTAAGGTTCATCAGCTTTTGCTACTTATTTTTCACCGAAGTTAAATTTTTCAGCTCGTAGAATTACAATTAATTACTCTGGGGGAAGATTGTTATATCACAAATTAACAGAGGGTGGAAACATAAGCAGAAGAAAGAAGATAATTCCTAAATAGGAATTATGTGATTTTCTTACATATCTCCAACAAAGCCATAAAAGACATGAAACAAATGTGGAAGAAAGAGAAGGAAATCAAGGAGAAAATGTAGGGAAAAGAAAAAAAAAAAACAAAACTATTTCGCCACATATCACATATATATATAGCCACAAGCTATTAGTCCATAAGCCAGGGTTTTTAATCAGAATCACAACCCCAAGAGAGGAGTGTTATTTTTAAGTCTGGGAAAATTGAGGCAGTGAACTGTGAGGGCTGCAAATGTTTCAAGCGCCATGTGAGTAGAGAAACCTATAAGCATAGTGCAATGTTCCAAGATCCTATTTCCTTCTCCACATTAAATCATACTCCCAACAGGGCTCTCTCTAAATAGATCATTTTTCCAAATTTGCTCTGTTGTCAGTGGCTTTACTATTCTTTCTACAATTAGTCAAAGCTTCTCAAAATGGACTACTGCTGCCCTGTAATTTTTCATTTTTTGTCCTGATTGAAACACTCATGATCCCTTTAAAAACATTTCATCACACCCTAGAGCTTATGGTAGACACCAAACGTGTCACTTTGGACATTGTCCTTTAAATTATTTCAATTTAATGTTTTCCAACTTTTCCAAACCCCCCAAGTCCTCATACTACAAGGAATTTAACTAAAGACAGAGGTTGTCTTGAAACTTTCACTGATGTTCAAGGTCATCTAAGCCTTGGCTTATTATACTTGCATTACACAACACTGATTTCCTTCCCCAAGCAGACAGTGGACTCCTAGAGGGCCAGATGCTACTCCCTTTGTCACCTTGCATGCTGGTAGCCACAAAGTATCCTGGATTGAAACATACTCCCCAGAAATATAGCCTTCCCTCAATTTATCAACAGCAAATATTCACGTACGGCGATCGGACTTGCTAAAAACTTATGTTTTCACAACCTCCTTAAGTTCCCTAAAAAGCCACAGAACAGTTTGAAAAGGTGTATCTGCATATTATCGAATTTACAAGTCAGATGGGGCATAGCACGTACCACCTACATGTGAATGATGTACAGTGCTCTTGCTAGCAGTTTATCACAGGAAACATGGAAACATCTTAAGGGACAAAAGGTGTATAACCAAGATAAGTCTGATGCCAACTTGAGGGAAGGTTTCCAAAATTATCAGTCCTATAGAAGTGCTGATGACCGGAATTCTACACCTGTATTTTCTACATTTATCATCCCCACCCCATTGTATGCTATTTTTCAAATTATCAGGCTGAGAAAAGCAGAAGAATCCACCACAATTACATTGTGGCTTCAGCCACATCAATGAAGATGAATTAAAAGGATAGAGTTAATAACAACGTATTTATATTATATTCTGAAAAATCACTAAGAAAGTATATTCTGAGTGTTCTTACCACCAAAAAAGTAATGCATGTTAATTAGCTTGATTTAGCCACTCCACTAAGTATACATATTTCAAGACATCATATTGTACATGATATATATAATTTTTGTCAATTGAAAATGTATCTAAGAAAAGGTAAAAGTAAAAGGCAAATCACTTGAGAGACTCAATCTAATTCTGTTTAGTGTCTCTGCCATCACGGTCACCACCACTATGTCCAAATACGAACGACAGGTTTCTTTTTCCAGGGTTATAGTCCCTAGTATGTATGTCATCCGTCCATCTCTAAAGAGACACATTACATCATCAATATTGAACTTGGAGCCTTCTTAGCAGACGATTTTCTCCAGCCTCATCTTTCACGCCTAAGCACGTTAATTCTCCTTGTTTATAATTTCTAAATATTAACAATGATCATATAAGCAGAAAGAGAAGAATTTTTCTAGTTTCAGTAAATGGCAATTCCTTTTTTCTAGCTATTGAGGTCACAGACCTTACAGGTAAACCTTACCTTCTCTTTCTCATTCCATATCCAAACAGCAAATCCTCTAGCTCAACCTCCTAAATATTAATACATTCAAGAATCTAATCACTTTACCACTTCTAGTGCCACCACCCTTGTCCCCTGCCACCCCAATCTCTCTTGCAACAGCCTCCCAAGAGGTCTCTCCGCTTCCACCCTAGTCGTAGCACTGCAACTAGTGACCCTTCTAAGACATAATCCAGACTCCCCAACCGCTCCCTGAAGTCCAACCATGGCTTCCCCTTCTCC